GATGGAGCTACAGGATCTGCTGGACATTCATACTTAAAGCAGATGTAGTGTTGTTTTTGCTATCTTTTCCCCATCCAAGACAAACGTATTATTTCAGAACTAATTTTCCCTTGATCAAATCCACGTTTGGAAGACCTGCGATCATGTACGTATCGACGGTGCTGTTAACAGATTTCGTCTTTATTTTTCCACTCGGCGCGGAATAGATTGGTAGCAAGTCTCTAGTTCGGCCACTTCCATTCTCCTACTAGTACTTAGATTGAATGTAGTCTGTTATTTTTCAGATCTTATCTTGGGCATGGAAAGCGTCTTTCTGACCTCCTCTTCAACATATGAGTCAAAAATCAAAGATCTTCTGAATCGGAATAAGACAACTCCGGAGCGAGTAGTCCGCTTGGCTTTGAGACTTTTGCTGCACAAAAAAACTCCGGGATGTGCTGCATTAGAAAGGTTTTCTGAGATGATACTCAAATTAGTACTTACTGAAACAGATCGCAGCGACGAGGGAAATGTTCAAAATGATGAGGGGTTATGCGCCAGCAGAGCTGCGAATTGTGTCCTCGTCCATTTGGGGGCAATAAAGCGCGAACGCAATGCTTCATCATCGTCGGAGGTAGATTCTGATGAAGATCCTATCAAAAGCCCAAATAAAACCATTGAGCATCCTGGTTCCGTTCTTGCGGTGATTCAACGAATAATAGACTCTCATGGAACTTCTATGCCAGCTGTTGTGGCTCGTTCGCTTTCTATTATGCTTATGGAATGCCGAGATAAATTAAAATCAGATATAGAGCGCGACGAAGAGCGTCCTTCCAACGAAAACATATTGGATCGGTTAGTAGAGAGTCTGGAGCTGCAGCTCAACCAAATAAACATACATGAGAAGCAATAAATAGTCATAAGGACGCTTTCCAGCAGGCTTATTTCCTTGTTACTCTCCATGTAAACTTTATTATGATATTGTACATTCGCATAATACAATAAACTTTTGCAAATTCCTTTTTATTATCTACACGAGCGAGATAAGAACGCTACATTGCACAAAAATTCATTTAAAGCCTCTGGAACAGGAGGCGAATTGTCATAAGAGATTATAGACAGAATGCAAAAACACGTGCAAACACACCCAAATAGAATATTTACATGGAATAGCATTTAAATTTCATAGGGGAATTTAGCTATTTAAGACAATATTTAAATTTAAAATGAGCAGATAAATTTTCGGTTTAGGTCACCTTATAACTATCTATACAGCCTTGATATTAATAAGTATACAATGAAAAAAATAGATGCACCGCCAATCGAGTAATATATTAGCTTCCTGCTCCTGGCGTGGTGTTTAGGAATCCCAAAAACCCTGTGCAGGGTGTTCGATAACAT